ATATATATATATATATAGTTCTGATCTGACCACAATGTTGTGCATGGCTATTAAATGAATGTTCTCTATTGTTCTTTGGTTGGTGTTACATGGATGGGACTGGAATATATTTCTTCTATATGTTCTAGAATAACATCTAAGAAAATAAAAACAAACAAGAAATAAACTAGTTAGATTTACTCAAATGGCTAGTACAACCAGAAATATTATGATACAGTATATAAGGAAAGTTATCCTGCCTTCTAAAAATTGGACCTTTCTTTATGAAATGCCACATGCATTTTTTTCCCTGACATTTGTTTAAATTTTAACACACTCTGGCAATTTTCATGCAAAAACCATACTTGAGTTACTTAAAATCGAAACCTAAATCTTGTCCTAAAAATGTCAAATGAAATTTGGATTAATTTGATTAAAACCCTTTTCAAGGGTATCAACAAATTAAAATTATTTTCTCAGAGTAGAAATATTACTTTATCTGATATTTCAAATGACAGGCAAAGATAGATTGTGATGCTTGAACATGTTCATATGATTTATGTAATTTAAGAAAACAAACTTAATTGTGTGAGACTGTATTTGTTACTCACCCTGATATGTTCGTGCAGGAGTCATTTGGTTGTAGTCCTCCGATAAGACAAACTCCTGATAAGAGGAAAACCTGGCTTAATGATGCTTAGCAATGTATCTAAGAACCTGCTGATGACATATTACTACACAGAAAACAGGTGTGTGTATGAATAATGCTTAATTAACATACCGATACAGTGCCATTTTCCAACCCTACAGAGATCCTCCTTGTCTCTGGGTTAAATGACATACATGAACACGCCACTGCAACATAAGACAAAGGCGATTAGTATGAGAATCTATCCAGCAAAATCCATTGATCAGCATTTGACTATAAACAAACACCCTGTACTGAGAGCCAGTGACCTCTTAGTCACAGTCTGCACTAGTTAACTAGAAAGCAAGCAAAAAATGTGACATCATTACTGAGAAATGAAACTCCTGTCTGAACGGGAAAACAAACTAAAGTTCGTGCCCATACTGGTTTCACGTCACCCTTTTACTTTTGTAGTAAAATTCCTGAAGCCATGTGGTTGCATGTCCCATAATGTTCAGATATATGTTGCTCTCAGAAAGCTGCACAGGAACTGTGTTGGGCTGAGGACTCACCTGGCATTGTGTGATAGACACTGGGCCAGTACTGACCACTGTCCCTCTTCAACCACACACGGATTGTCCTAAAACAAATTAAAATAAGTAATTAAACATAATAAATAATAATCTTGATTAGAAATTGTACATACATCTGTTTACCAGACACTTTCTTACCAAAGTGACATGCAATACAGTGCACAAATTACCAGGACACACATCTAAGAATACATGTCGTTGGCTAAGATCCATCCTAATCACCTTATCGCCAGACATAATAAGACCTCAAACTAAATTTGGCTGCCAAGTTAAAAACGTAGCCAGGATCAGGGTACTCAAAATCATAGGGCTGGGACAAAATGGTAGGCCATATGTTTTATGGAATATATGTATATTAAGTGAAGAAAGGATTTTGCTTTAACAAATCTCTAAAACCAAAATTATGACTTTAAAATGATTGTTGGGGCTGTTAAAAAAAATGTAAATAATTTAACACAATTAA